TTTCCCTTTAGAGCTGCTGATGCTGTACCTACATGAACAGAGGGCTTTTTGTGCACTTGGCTTTCACCATCTCGGGCTGATACTGGGCCAAGCCCTGCAACGCCTGGTCCTTCATCCTCCAAGACAGCAGATCGCACCTCTTTATAGGTCTTCAGCTCCTGGTGACTATCTTTGTTAGCTGTTTGCAGAGCTGTTCGGAAAGCTGGCTCTTTGTCTTCCAAGACAGTAGTTGCTGGAATACTTTGATCAAAAAGTCCCTGACTTTTGTCCTTACGTACTGGAGGTAAATCTGTTTGTGGGCTTGTTAAAATAGAAGGACTTTCGTGCTCCATGAGATCAGACTTAGCATCACTGTGAGCAGAAGGCTTCTGAAGTGAATGCTCTGGGCTTTTGTCTTTACAAGGTGGAACTGAAACAGTCCTTTTAATATGGAAGTTTTCACCTTTTAGATCAGGATGGCTGTCAGTGCCATCAGCGGAGGGCTTTGACTCCTGGTGCAGATACTCTCCTCTCTTACTTGTAGAGGATGACTTGGAGGTGGTCTCTGACGGTGGAAGAGCTGAAATGAGCTGCTCAGCCTCCTGAAGAGCTATCTCAGAAACGATGCCACAGGGAGATTTAGCCTGAATGCCTTCCTGCTTTTGACCTGATGGCGCAGTTATGTCTGATCGCTGGGCAGTTAGAATGGGGCCTTTGCCTTCTAAATCATCAGCTTCCTCCTCCATGTAAGTAGCTTTTGACTTCTTAAGTAAATGCTTCCTATTCTCACTCCTGTGAAGTGATACTGGAAGTCTCTCCAGCTGTTCCAAAGTAACAGCTGGGCATCCGTTACCCTTGCACTCTGTAGAAATAGAAAGCTGTTCTCCTGAACGATCCTTTCTGGTTCTGCTGGAGTCCTCTTGCTTTGAAACGTCTACGGAACATCCCTTGCCAGGCTCAGCGGAAATATCACAGTGCTGACTGCCTTCAGGGCAACTTTCCTGAGACGTTATATCATAGTCTTCTTCCAAAATATCTTGTTCCCTCACGGATCTTGAGGCCCTCAGCCTGTAATCATCCAGTGAACGGCTTCGACTAGAACCAGCAATGGCAGGATGTGGCGGTTTCCTTGCAGTATCAAATGAAGCTGATTTGGTCAAGGGACCAAGCAGACTTTCCCGGTGCCCTCCATCATCAGACTTTCTTTCTTCTTCTTCCTCCAGTTCAAACTGTTCTAGAAGGGGTTCACGGAGACCACTGATGGGCACCTTTGAATATCCAGCTTTCCAGAAAGTCCTTCTGGCTCTGTCCAAGTGCCTTCTGAGCTCCCTGCCTGGAGAGGAAGAGCCCCTTGCAGGAAGCTCAGCTGCTTGGCTGTAGAAAGTGCTTTTAATGACACTCTGTCTCGGAACACATAAAGGTGGTTTTTCTGTCCTATCCCCAACCTTTTCAGTTTTGTCCTTACCAGATACAAATGTATCTGTTTTTTCTTTCTGACATAGACTCAATGTGTCATCTACAGAAACTGTCACTGATGAAGGCTCAGCTGCGTTACTTTTTTGGGACTGTTCTGCCCTTTCGTCTTGAGGTTTGTGATGGAGTTCCTCCTCTTGCTGTCCTAATGCACTTGCCATGATTTCTTTGCTTTCTGTAGGTGATTTGTCTCCCACATCACTCTTCCCTGAAGCATACTTCCTTCTCATGGGTTTTACTGGAGGGGCCAAGATTTTGGAGTGCTTCTCTTCACTTGCATGTTTTGGAAGTTTCTGACTGCTTGGTGCATCAAAGATGGACAAGTGCAGTTCAGGGGTAGAGCCGAAGTGTCTCTTGTTGGGGAAGTGCGAGTTCTCATTGTCTGAAGAGGAACCACTCGTACTAGAGGAAGTGCTTTCTTCAATAAGATGTCGGGAGATGGCCAGGGAGGTGTTGTCATGAGTCCTTTCTAGGATTTCTGGAATGGATCGCATTACCAATATGGATTTATAGCACATCAGAGAACGCTGAAAAAGCAAAACAAAACACAGCACAATCAGATCGAAATATGGTGGGAATATGGTAAAAGCAAACATACAAATATTATCATCTTCTGCATGCTTAAAGATCGACCACACACTAGTTTAACAACACATATAGTAGGTTTAGGCCTTATTTGCTCTCTCAGTCACCTCTTCTCTCATTCACAAAGATGAAACTATATTATCCTCAGGGGACATACTTCCTGTTGTGAACAGAGAATCAGGACTCAGATTTTCAAAGAAAATTTGGTCATTCACAGCAGGTGGAAAAAGATGAGATTTGGCTGTCTGAGTTTTAAATGAACACGTCAGATAAGAGCCTAAATGGCCTTAGTTCCATTGACTGCAGCATGACCTGAAATGACTTAGGCCAACAGAAGGCCTGGAACGCTGTCGGAGGTAGGATTCATCTCTAACTTTTGAGGTGTAAGACACTTCAGCTGAAATTGAGCAGCTGGTCTTCCTTCACAGCCAAAACAGAGAAACAGGCATCTTCAGAAGGCAATCAACCTGGTTATTTTAGATAACTTTCAGCAAAAGAGCAATCTTCTTAGGACCCGTCTATAGCTCATTATCCATTACAAAGACAGACTAGGGTAACTAACATAGACACAACTACATATGCTATAGGCACTTCCATTAGGGCAGACGATTTTGTCCAGATGTTTTAATTTCAAAGTCCTACTTTACACTATACTGGCATATTTCTGTGAAATCTCTCTGCTCTCATATGAGTACTTAATATAGGAATTAGGAAGAAAACAAAACGTTTAAAAAGAGAAGTGGCGCAGTCCATGTATGTCATAAAAATACTGAAAAAAATAGAGGAAAAGCCAAAATTTAATGACAAGTTTATGGGAGCTTTCTATAAATAACAAATACCTTGTTAGCACTTACCATATAAGAGGATTTTTATAAACATTAGCTAATGACCTTACCACACTTATTGACAGCTGATGAAAGGAGTGGTATTATCTGAGGACATCTGATAACTGAGGAGAGTCAAGGACCCTGATAATGAGATGCTGACTGAGAGAAAGAATTTGTGTGCGTGGATTTAGGAGTTCCAACCTTACTCTCACACCAAACTTACAGAAACTTTAAAATGCAAAGATTCAAATCATTGGCACAGAATCTTGCGCCCCATCAATTTTAACAGTCAGCATCATTAATACAATGAGCGTTTTATATATAGTGGTGTAGAAAGATTTTTTTTTTCTCTTAATAGGTGCAAGTCATTTGGAAGCCACAGGACTTTTCATAGGCAAGTGCTTTGACTGAGAGCTGTGACACACCATCATCTTACCATGACTTTACAAGCTAGTGCATGTCAGCCGAGACATGGCTATGCTGGGTCAGGACGTGTGCTGCTAATGGTGCAGAGTGAGGACTCCTAGTCCATTCAGTAGAAGAGGGCTAAACCAAGGGACATCCAAATGGTTATCGTGAGTCAGCTGAACATGGGGTAAGATCCAGCTTGCTCGAGGAGGCATTTGTATGTGTCTACATGGACTTGCCTGCAGGCGAGACTGCCTCCAGGATAGTCAGTGGGGACGTGTTCAATACAGGCACTGAGTTTCTTGGCAATAGGCATCTGCTTTTAGGTGAGCTGAACCCTTTCCTGGCTCTGCTGACTACACTGGTCTCACTGATGTCAGCAGGAGTTACTTACACCAGGAGTTACTTGCACACGTATCTTACATGTACACACCTAAATGCAGGTGTCTTAGTCCTCTTTCAGCGCCTGCTGGAAGATCTCAGTACACAACCCACGACTGCAGTAAGAGCCTGGATAATTTCCTTCTGCCACATCCACTGACCACTCTGTCCTTGGCTTATTCTCCTGTGAGAGCTAACCTGAGAAGATCTCTGCTGCACTCACCATCCCAGCCCAATAGACTTTAAAAGATGCAAATGTAATTGAAAAAAAAAAAAAAACAACTAGAAGGATCAAACAACACAGGTTAAGGCCTACTCACCTGCCACTTGCTCCGAGCCACAATGAATTTGAGCTGCTTGGTATTAATAAAATGAGCTGCTTCAAGGGGGAGATTATGCTGTCAAAAATGAAATTAAAAGTAGAATGAGCGAAAAAACATTGATAAAAAATCCTGATTTCATATCCTGAGAAGCTTTTCAGATTCCCTCACTCTAGAATTGTTTAATTTAGGGGAGTACTCACTTGTATCATTATAACAGACCAATCCCACAATCCCCTCACAGATAAAGTGTAAACATCAAACAGCTTTTCAGTGATAAAAACAAGCCCTGTCCAATGCATCTGTGAATTCAATTCATTTTTTTAAAACTCCTTCCCTTCATTAGAGATTCCAGGCATTTGAACATAAACCATACATTTTCTTTGCAAAGCCACAGTTTCCTCTCAATGCAGACATGTTACATCTGCTCACGTCACTAGGAATCTTTATCTTTTGAAAGGGAAGATATCCTAAAAGAAAACATTGAAGTGTCTTTTACTTAGGTAGGGGATCAAGGGGGAAAAAAAAAAAAACATTAAACAGTTAACGACCAAGATGTGTAGCCTTGAGAGCTGCCCCTCCAGCGGTCTCCTCCAACCTAAATGATTTTATGACTACAATAAAGAACCAGGACACACTTACCATGAACCACCTGTGGGACAGACAGTCCAAAGCGCTAGGCCTGGCTCTGATAAGAGAAAAGATCACCATTTTAGTAGCAAGTCTCTTTAAACCACCACAGCAAGATTCTCCAGAGAGTGCCTGCACTTCATGGACACACACACACACACGCTTGGGTATGACTTTTTGCTTCTGTTTTGGAGGTGAGAAGCCAAGTAGACAGAAAGAGTCTTTCAACCCAAGGTTTTCTTCCCATGAGGTAGCACAACCCTTCTTTTTCAGTCTTGGAAAGGTTTCTTGCCCAGAGAGCCTGTTTAAGGCAGTCAAGAGCAGCCCTAGGAGTGAATTTGACTCCCTAGGTGACCAGAGCAAAAATAGCTTTGGCACAAGGCAAAAAGGATATAAATGAAATTAAAAGGCAAGCACCTGCATTCATGCCTTCAAGCCTCCTTTTGCACTTGAAATTGCTTAATGCATGTGGCTCGTATTATTCAATTCTTACAAAACTCCCTTGACCTCAGGTACTTGCTAATGCTCACCCCACTTCTTCAGAAACCCATCTGCCTGGAGGTGCTTGTGAGTAAGGCCATCACCATATTAGAAGCAGACCCGTTTTGCAAATTGCAGGTAAGTTTTTTCTGAGTAATGAATAAAGAAGAGTTGGAATGAGGGCACAACGCACCACATCTCACTCAACCTTTCACTTTTTAAAAGCACTGCAGCTCTACTGAGCTCAGTCCTGGCTGCTGAGACACCATCTTTGCACACTGTCTGTAGGAAGCACGAAAAGGCACTCACTCAGGGCGCTGCTGCAGGATCCGCTTTATAAAATCCTGTGCATATTCACTCAAGTGAAGGAAATCAGGAAGGGTCCATGAAATTTCTCCATTCTGGATATTTAGAAGGGTTCCTCTGTCGTTCTCCCCAGCAAATGGAGACTTGCACGTTAGGCTTATTTATTTAACACCATAAAATAAAAAGAGATAGACTTTAGACTCTTATTTGCTCTTCAACTGACTGAAGCACAAATGCTTAGGCAGAGCTTTGAAATGCTTGGAGGACTCCATGCACGGGGCTCACACTACTGGTGAACAGCGTGTTCACCTCCTGAGCATCTTTCAGCCCAGTATTAGAAGGCACTTGACCAAACTATTTATTCCTGTTTGGCGCCTAACTAAGGGCTTGCTTTTGCACAGCTACAGGAGGACGGCTGCTAGCATGGGAAAGGAGAAGACTGAAGCTGACCCGTGAGAGCGGCTCTGAGCAGGGACAACCACCAAAGTCTTTGCCAAACTGGAAAGAGTAAAGGAGGAAATGACAAGGGAAATTGCTCTTGTTGTACAAGGACTCCACGTGTCACTCACTCCAATCCTTCACTTGAAGGTGCCGGAGGCTCTGACTGACTTGGGACTAAGGGATATTGAATGGTTCTCTCCAAGCAAGTTTATTTACCTTAAATATGTGATGACTCCAACAGCCCTGAGGAGAGAGGGAACATTAATGTCAGATGTCAGTCATTGCTTCTCCCTGCTTCCCAAACACATAGCCCCCTTTTCTGCCACTTTGCCCACCTTTCAAAGGAAAATAAATCCCAAAAGCTGTTGCTTTAACCCTGACTTTGTTGATTTTTCCCTTTAGTTGAAATTACAGTTATATAACATAAACATTTCATTGTGATCAGAGCAGCATTTTAAAAAATTGGTCTCGAGTATTTCTTCATTTTTAAAGTATATATAGAGATAAAACTTGAAATGTATTTTTGGAGTTTGTTTGGCTTTTTCAAAGAACCCTCTTAGGAACATTCTCCCTAGTTGGTGCCTCTTTAACATAGATCATCTTCTCTAAGATGCTCCTTGGCATTAATTAGCTATTAGAGTTCAACAACAGACATAAGGAGCTTTAAAGAGCTCTGATGGGTCTTGCATTCCCAATGCTCACTTTCAGTTTCCAGTTGTGATTATCACTATTCCATTTATCTACGAAACAATACACGGAAACTGCTTTATTAATTGCACCAGCTTTATCAACCTACAGCATAATACAATCATTAATGCCATTTTTATACTTGCAAGGATGTGCTGTATTGCAAACATTACAGATATGATAAATAGAAATGTTTCTGCACAAGAGACTCCCAGGACCACACTACAGTAAATTACCCTAAGGATGAACGTACATGCAATGCAATGCAATGCAATGCAATGCAATGACATATTCCTAGGAAAAGATCTATTTTAATCTGGAGGCTCCAAACTCACGCTGTTTAGTGCAGAAGTTATTTTAAAAGATGCCAATTACCAGGTATCAGTCGCTTTCGAGACTGGTGACTGAGAGACGATTTCTGGGGCAACAAACTCTGGAGACCCATATTTGCTGAACTGAGGCTCAAATGGTGTGATCTTCTGAGCAAATCCAAAGTCACAGATCTTGAGGTCCTCCCTTTCAGGATAAACCATGAGGATATTCAGGGGCTAGTAAATAAAATAGAAAGGAGATTTTTTTCCTTGAAAGAGGGCAACATTTTCTGTTGGAGATAAGAGTAATTCAAATAAAGAACACCCGTTCCCTGACCAACAAGTGGCTGCTATAAACTAGACCTGCCATTGCACATTACCTTAATGTCCAAATGAAGGACGTTGTTGTCATGAAGATACTTGATTCCTTCCAAAATTTGCTTGATATACAATTTGACCTAAAAATTAAATCAATTATTCAAAAATGAATCATTAAACAATTAAATAATTAAAATTAAAGAAGGTTCCTAATTCCAGCCATCTTTCATGTGTATGAAGAAACAGAGATTAACTAGAAATACTTTCAAAATTGGAATGAACTTCTTACATTAGCCCTTGTAGGAGAAATAAAACGTGAACCAAATACCACTGTGCTGAACGAAGCCATGCCTCATGTGCACAGCTATCCTATCCTATCCTATCCTTCCAGACCCTTCTACATGTGAGGAAACCCTTGCTTGAAAAAAAAAAAAAGAAACATGCTAAAAAGAGATACAGAAATTCCCAGATTTGATGGACCTTATCTTTAGATCTCAGACTCATCTCTGGCTTGGTATGAATCAGGCAAAGACGTTTAAAAAGCAAATACGTTTTAAAACTGTGTTGCAAACCCATGCTCTTGACCATATATAGATCAAATGTGACTAAAACTGAATGAGGCGTGAAGATTTATAGCTAGCTTCAACTTTGACATTCCTCTAGCTTTGACATTTTACAGGGTTAACTGATATTTTCTCAGAGTACTTCACGGAAAAATCGATTTTACCATTAACTATGGGAGAGATGGCTACTAGACCTTGGGAAATATGAAGCCTTTTGCTCTTTGAGCACACAGAACCTTGAAAAACCTCAGAAACGATCATCTCCGCCCTTGGTTTGGAGACTGTAAGGGACCAGACACAAGTACAGTCACAAGGGGGCAGAGCATTATTTAAAAAAAATAAAAAAAGCCTAGATACAGGAGCTCCAGCTGATAGAGGGCAAGGAAATGGTCATGTTAATAGAACAAGTATGGTCTGTGTCAGGCTGAATGTAATGCTTGTGTTCAAAACTTGTGGCTGCTTCTAGTCATTCCCTGAAAATACTCTACTTAGTAATGAAAGCTGCTGGCGATACATTTTAAATACTGACCCCGTTTTGGCAGATTGTCACTGTTTCAAAAGGATATTCCCGGTATTGAAAAAGGAAAATGCAGCTGAAAGCTACTTTCTGCTGAAGGAGAAGCAAGGTGGCACCCACCAATTTTGGACTTTGAAATGAGAGAGAAAGATTACCTCCGCTTCAGTGACAACACTCTTCTTGAACAAACGGTCAAGGAGCTCTTCGCTGGAGCATCTCACAATGGCATTAAGGGAAAACGCAACTACAGTTAAATTCTTATTTTGTAACCACCTCCGCCCACCCAAGAGCGTCTGAAGTAAGAGAGAGCAGGATTCACACGGTATCTATCACAGGCAGTGTGACATGCACGTGATCCATGAAGACCTCTGCCGCAGAAGCATCCTCGCAGAAGTGTAATGGAATCGGCCTGCTCTAAGCTAGGGCTCCCTACAGGAAGGACATGGTACGAAAGAGACACGTGCTACAACATACCTGCAGATTATTGACTTTTCCCTGGTGCTCACCCAGGCTGAATCTCACTGGGACAGAGCCTCTCACTCCCACACACTTCAGAAAAGAGCTTGGGTGCTTCACAACTCGCTCACACTGTGCGTACAAGTGTCCGGGCTTTTGATGAACCATGATGCTTCAGTGACTGCTGTTACCATAAAGCCCGAGGAGCTCATGGAGCTATGCTGCAATGCAGCATGGAGGAAGACTGCGTGCTTTTTCATCTCAAGTGAAAACTAAATACCATTATTTGTTCAGTTATTCATCAATGAGGTCTGCCTAGTACTTCCTAGCCTCCTCAGAAAAGAAACACAGAAAAGGATACAATTCCAGGATCAAAATCAGAGTTTTCCTTGTTTCAAACTGATCCAGCAGCCTGGTAATTCTATCATGGGACAGAGGGGCAAGAATGTCCCTCTCCTGATGTGCTCGAGCCTTCGTTTTGCTTCGCAGAGGTATGAATTTGGCAGCACAGGATACTCTGTTCCCTTTATGCACAACTCGTTTGACAAAGCTGAAGCAGCCCCTGTGTAAAATCAAAGCATAAGCCCCGCTCAGGCTTGGTTCAAAGCCCTCTGCGCAGCAGCTGCAGCCCTTTCCAAGCCCCAGCCTTTGCCCCTCCCTGCTGCTCAGGTCTTTAACTCTCCAACATAAAAAAGTTGATTTTCCTGTGTACGAGGTGATATTGCCCTCTCCTGGCTGCCTCCAAATCTGAACAACCAGCTTCTGGAGTGAAAAGCTGTTTCAGGCGATACAGGCTTGCTGCCGGATCCTTTGGATGGACGTGGGGCTTGTACGTACATCGCTATGGGGCTGTGATGCTAACATCACCGGAGGGCGCAGCCCTGTGTGCTTCACGACGTGCAACCCCACTGATACACACGTTTGGTACCAGAGGATGAGGCAGCAGCCTGCTGCTTACAGGGCTGTCCCCAACTTCGCCAGCAGGCTCTGGCTGCTTTTTTTTTCCAGCTGGGGCTGGAAATCAGAGAAGAACTCAAATGTTGGCCTCATCCGTGCAGGCCACCAGGCATCTGTCACGGTAGGGAACGGATGCTGCTGTCCCACGAGGCAAATGCAGGTACCCCAAGGAGGCTGCTGGTTTTCCCCAGCGGGAGGGCTTAAGGTCTACATCTTGGGAACCTGCCCCTAGGTATCCTTTGGGTATCACTTTGCCTAGATAGCATCAGCACTGTTTCATAAGCTGCCCAGAAAGCCGACATGTGTGCTCCTTACTTTCAGACTCTTTAGACAGCAACTTGCTCTGTATCAAAGCAGCAGCTCTGATGGGCAGTTACATATTTCTCCGCAAGGATGCTATAAAGCTGGAAAATTCATTTACCTTCCGATCTCCTGTTTAACCTCATAGAGGGAATGGAGCTTTCTCCGGGTGGCCACTTTCTTTGCTGCTTGGTCTTTCTTAACTTTGGTAATGAAAGAAAATGTAAGGGTTAATATTCAGATTACAATGCCTTGCAAATAATATGCAAAACTATCACTGGACAACTTAAGTCAGGGAAAATTATCAGGGTCCTTCTCTAAGCTTCTGCACACAATTAGGTATAGCCGTTTGATGAAAAAGTGTGCCAACATGGATTTGGGGGCTGTATCTTCATCTGACATAAAACAGAAGAGTCAGGCTAAAGAGCGGAACACCACTGGAGGTATGCCCCACTTACTTCTGTGGTCCAGTCTACCAGTTCATCACGTAGCCTCAAAAAAACTCCAGCTCACTTCTTCATAGATGCAGTTCATTAGACCATTTACCCTCACTGGATCCTACCATGTTGGTACCATGCAAATGCCAAGCAGGAATAAAGGGCAGATACCATACGGATACCAGAAAAACACTGCCACAGGATATATTTTGCAATGGCTCTGAAAGCAACTCATGGAGCTGAAAGATTTACGTTACCTTCATGTACAATAAGCTCTGCTTTGCACAAAACCTCCCCTCCGGCATTTTTGGCAACACAGGTATAAACACCACCGTCTTCTGAGACAACGTTGTCCAGGACTAAGAAATATGTTGTTCCTTCCTTCACTTGATGCAGCCTGTGGCTGTCTGTCAACAAGGAAGTGCCCTGAAAGAATGAAATGACATTTTGGCACCGAAAACCAAGACAGAAATAGATGTGGCCTCTCTTCAAGGAATGAGATACACCAGCAGGGCTAAAACATAAACCTTTTAAGCATTTAGACTACCAAATCTCACTAATAAAATGTTGGCTGAAGAAGTCCCCCACGACTAAATGTTTTTCAGCTGCTATATTATTCATTACTATTTTGTTTAACATCCCATTCACAGGGAAAAAGGCCTGGGAAAGATCATCAGGGCTACATGGTTTACCCTTCAGCTCTCCCAGGGCACCATGCAAGAGGCAGGCAGCCCAGGGGAGCACAAAGAACATCTACTTAACTCCTTCCTGGTGTCCAGCTTGCGCTGGCACTTGCACTGCTTAATATAGTCCTATACGATCTGAAAGGAGGGTACGGGGTGGGGCGTGTGTGTGTGTGCGCGTGTATGTGTCACAGTTTACACAGAGCAGATGTTGATGATTTGCAGAAGGATCCTATGAGGCTGCCTGACTGGGCAATAAAATGCCAGATGAAATTTAATACAGATGAACGTACAGTGACTGTAACGCTACGTTATTTCCCCATATGAAATGCTGGACTCTGAGCTGATCCTTATTACACCGGAGCAAAACTTTGGGCTGCAATAGCTCCATGGCAACACCAGCTCAGTACTTGGTGGTAGTCAAAAAGGTATACCGCAGGTTACGAGTTATTAGGGAAGAGTAAGATTGAAAACATCATCTTGTAAATCCTTGGTTTGCCACGGGTGCTTGATGCGGCAATGCACTTTCGGTAATTGCTTTCATATGAGGATTGATGGAGCAACCTGGGACTCTCCAGCCTGGAAGGGAGCTCTACGGTATGATATGATATTACAGAGCTCTACAAAGTCACGAATAGCCTGCAAGGAGTGGTGGAAGCCACTTCTAGTGGAAGAACTAAGAGCCATCACGTGAAGCAGACTTGTACAGAACAACCAGAAATACTCAACCCTTTGTAGATGGATTGAACTCTTTGCCAAATTTGCGGGAAGCTTACATGGCTCCAAGGGGAGACATATGGAAGGGAGCTTCGTTGTAAGTCAGTAAATAGATACAATTCACCTAGTTCAGGATCTCTCTGAGCTGAAAATGTCAGCGACTGGGAGAGTATTCAGAGGGTATATCATATATTCTTGCCTTGTGCTAGTCTTTCCTATTCTTTCCTGTCCATGTGTGTGGGTGTAGGGGGGAAGGTTCTTTGCTTGTTGTGTGTTTTTTAAGGTTTTTTTGCATTTTATTTACTTCTCTCAGGAGCTCATCCTTGCACTTTCCAGATAGAAGATAGAAAAAACTGGAATAAAACTCATGTGTGCAAAAACAAGTTTGCTGGACAGGACAGTTGCAGGTAATCATTCCTGAAGAATGCTGGCTTACTTCAAGGGCACATCAATATTCTTTAATAGTAAAAGAACAGTGACCAATGACCATGAATATGCCATGGAAAGGAAGGAGAAGCCACTGTTCTCTTACTAATTTACTATAGAAAAAACACAGAGGTTGGAAGTCATGCTGACAATTGGAACAAGCCATTCTTTAATCCATCCCCGACCCCAAAACTACAGCACAGATCTTAGTGGCTCTCAGACAGGCACCTGTCCCTCTTCCTGCCCATCTTGGTCTCCAAAACCATCTTCGTTGCCCCTCCCTGCTGAAGGGGCTACAGTGACACTGGAGACAACACAGGTAGAGGTGCATGGTTGTTGTGAAACAGTACAGCTGTTCCTACACTGTCCTCTCATGAAGCAGCACTTCTGGGCACAAATTGATACACAGGAAATTCTGTCTGAACATGAGAAAATAAGACTTTTTTACTGTGGGGTGGCTGAACATTGGAACAGGTTGTCCAGATAAGTTTTAGATTCTCCATCCTTGAAGATACTCAAAACCCAACTGGACAGGGTCCTGGGAAACCTGCTCTAGCTTGAGCAGTGAGGTTGGACTAGACAACCTCCAGAGGTTCCTTCCAACCCCAGCTATTCTGTGATAACGTGAAAGAGAAGCTAAAAAAAAAAAAAAATACCTCCAACGTCCATAAGGCATTTGCTGGTTCCAGAGACAATTGAGGCTGATTTGACAATCTCTGTATCACAGTTTATAGACATGACCCTGAATCCGCGTAAGAGGTATAGGATAAAAGAACAAAATAAATTCCCCACAAAAATACTGCTGTATAATCCTTTGTGTAGTCCTTACTCCCCACCAAAGAAACATCGTCACTTACCTTAAACCACAAAACAGTAGGCTGAGGGTTTCCTTCAATAACTGCCTGAAATTGGGCACGCTCCCCAGAATTCACCTGCACATCCTCTATTGTCACTTGCATGTAGGGCGCACCTGGTGAGACACAAGGATTTGCACCAATCACAGTATCATAACTTTGCTCACGGTCTGCTGATGAAAGCTGAGTTACTCAAACAGGATTTCCAGGACCAGCCATTTAGGGTGTGACAATGGTTTAATGTCAAGTCTAGAGACACCAAAGCATCATATTTGGGTTTATTTCCACTGGCATTACCTTTAGCCCTCCTGTTTTCTGGTTTATGTGGGTTTTTTTTTGTTTAATATATAGTTACCGCTCAAGAAATTCGAGGACTTCAAAAAACAGACACTAAGAGATATCACCAAAAGAGAAGACAATGGGACAATGATGGGATCTGGGAGAGGGAAACAAGGTTGTTCCTTACTTGTTGGGGTCTTCTCCTCAGTCTTATATACACAAGTTCTTTCCGTGGTCTCAATATAAACTTCACTGTGCACATCCCAGACCACATCTCCTTCTCTTCTATACCAGTCTCCTGCCCCCGTGGCTGGTGATGTTCTTTCATGAAGACCAAGAGTAAATACCATTATACGGTCACATACAACTACAGAGATACAGGATTACACTTTCAAATTTATCATTATTTACTTAAACTTAATATAAGAAAAAATTTTTTCGAGGAATTAATTTCTCCCCAACCTTTTCCATCCTTCTTACACGACACACTAGTTAACAGGACTCTAAGGATTCAAAAAACCCACAAAAATCAGTTTGAGTCACCACCTACTTCCTTAACTACAACTTGTTTCTCTTACAACAAAGTCTGCCACATTGAGAAACCTGTGTGCAGGCTCTATGTTTACCTGGTGATGGGAACAGTGCGTTCCTGAGTCCTTTCAGCTCCAGCAGCCATCTCTTTTTGGGAAGGACCAGGCCTGGATTTTGTCGCACTTGGTTCTTCAGCTGGAACTGGGCTTTGTGCTTTGTCTGGCAGCAGAAATAAGGCAAGTTAGACATGTCAATGATGAAAGCACACCTGAAACCAAAGTAAATCTTTGGAGACCACCTGCACTCTGCCTTCTGACAGAACAAGTCCACCTGACTTCATTCATCCAAGTGCAATCATTGAGACTAAGAGTACAATTTGGCCCTTTTGAGACGACAACATGCAGCAAAAGGATTGAATGACATCAGAGGGATTGAACGGTGGAACACCGGTGACTGGGCAAAACTGACTTTTTTTGAGGAAACACACACGAGTGCTAATAGGAAAGACAGCCAACAGGGACAATAAGAAACAGGATGATTGCAAGGAAAACGTAAATTCAACGCATCCATTTTACTAGGTAATTTAAGTGTGTTTGACTTCCAGCATGTGGATATGATGAAATGCCCAGTGCTCGATGGCAGTTTAAATACTGTTATTCTTTCATTATTAATTATTTTACCAGATGCAGCCTCAAAAATTAGTTGGATCTTCCATTCCAGAAGTAACCCATTGTCCTTTAATATGGACCATTTCAGTAAGCTACCTCCCTGAGTTCATCATTCCCTTTTTCATTTGGGGAGAAAAATGTCAAATTCAGAGACATCATCTTCCCAGCAGGAAGGGCCTTTTAGCGGAGTGCTTTGGAAATGTTTGATGCTGGCTGGTTTTGGAAAAAAGCAACAGCTTCCAGAAACTGCACAGGACAGCTCTACCAGAAGGGAAAACATGGTAATTCACAGCGCTACTAGCAAGATCAGAGAGCACAGGTAGACAGGAAATGTACTTGTGCTTTCCTATAGCCAGTGCTGTTGAAATATTTGCCTCCTTTTTTATTCAAAGCATGTTATCATAGGGACACTTGTCAAGTCTCCGACTTATTAAAATAATTCCCCATGTCAATAACACCTTCAACCGCTTAAAGTGAAAGGACTGGAAAACTATTCCATTCACTGTTCACTACCCCATTGTTTCTTTAGCTAAAGCTAAGTAAATAAACTGTTCTATTTCACTTCCTGCTTCTGATGATTTTTCAGTCATCCTGCTTTACTAGCGAGTCTTTTTATGGACGCTTTTCTACTAAAAAGGAAAAGAGGTCATAAAGCCCATTCATTTTTCCATGCTGGATTTTTGGGTCTGATTCAACGAAATCCAGCTCTTCTTGTTAAGTTTTAGACAAAAACATCCTATTTTTTAAACAGCAACTGGAGTTTATGGGCTGAAGGCTACTTGACATCATCCTCTTTAGGTCACGTTGGTTTAAGGGCAGTTACTCTGACTTGACACAAACAATGACCGGTCAGACAAGCTGTTATGGCAGCAAGCGTAAGGAGGAGTGGAAGGACTGCAGCCCGTTTGCATTTTTTAAAAACAATGCAAACATGAAAGCCAGAATTTCCTAGCAAGACGTAATCACATGCGTCATTGGTTTTAGTCACAGGGCAACTGCTGAGGAGTCTATTAAGGCTCCAGGGCCAGTGAAATGCAAGTGAAGGTGTCATGCCCAGCATCCTAGAAAATCCATGGCAGCTGATAAGGTGGCATTAAACAAATTTCCAGCTTGCTAATGGAAAAAAAAGAGAGAGAGAGAGAGAGAGAAGGAAAAAACTCAAAACAAAATAAAAACCTCCTTCCCCACCTCAGCAAATCCAAAACCAAATAACTCCCGAAAATGCAATGAAAAAAAAAAACAAAAAAACCTTGCAACATTAAAGCAAGTCCAAGTTTAAAAGCCTAGAAGTTTAAAAATTTTCTATCCCTCCATTTTGGACAGGTGATGAACTAAAAACTCTACCTCAGATACAAAGCAAAGCTCGTGTCCAGCCTAACCCCAGCCCGCAGCCCCATGTTTCGTGGTGCCTGAACGTTAGGAAAAAAATCATTATTGGCGAGTTCAATATTTCTGTCTCTCTTGACTTCCACAGGACATTTTCTGGCTTAATTCCAGACCTACCATGCCCTTCAGTAATTTGGGTTTGGGTACTGGCTTCGTGAACTATCAGAGGAGGCCCAGCTCCTGTTTCTGAGCAGTCAGAAGGCACGGACTCAAGAAGGCTGAGACCACCAGCTCCTCCTCGCCCGCCTGGCGGAAGGGTCACAAGCAGTGACGCTGAATCCACAAGTTTCCTTAGAGCTGTCTTGATCTCCTTATCAGCGCGTTCAAGTGAGGCCTGGACAGAAGTTTCCGTCTCTGACTGCGGGGAAGTCTCTCCTACAGACAAGAAGAATAGCTTTTCTCTCTTCAAGGTAAAAAGAACACATCAGTATCACCCCACCCATCACAACCAGAAGAAATATTTGCAGGTGTGTCCTCCTCCCCACCCCTAGAGCAGGGAGTTGTTACCAAAATTCCAGCCGGAGGGACCCTAACTAGGACCGCCAATAAGGAGATCAGCGCAACGAACTCGTGGCAGACATCTCTCACTACGCTGCAATTGCTGCAGCGCACACACCCAGCCTCTCCTCAGACATCCTGCAGAACGTGGGTGGTAACTATGAACGAAGGAGGTCAGCTCCAAACTCAACCCTACGGGGGCTGCTCTGACAAAAATAACCTCTATCAAGACCACCGGGATGAACCCAGCTGTGCCCTGCTGAAGGATGACATTACTCTTGCAGGGAAGGGGAAGGAGGAGTGAGCAGGTACCAGACTGACCAGTGCCTTTGGAGAAAGGGAGGGGACAGAAGGGCTGACGAAGAGCTTATAAATCTGAGAGGATGGCAGAAGAGACCGTGAAGCTACTGCTTAGAGAATAATCTATTCGTCCCGCTCTGCAATAATACATCTGCTGGGCCTTGCACTGCAATCTAGCTGAAATTTAAATATTTGTGCAGGACGGTGCCATCGCAAGACACTATAGAGGCTAGGTCAGCTGGTGGGTACAGAAGAAGTAATGTACAGAGGTTGCATATAGAAAAGCATTATAGAGAGGAAGACGTAACTCAAGAAACTCAAAAGTCCTAACGAGAGAGACAAGACAAGCTTTTCACACATATAGATAGCTTCTCAAGCTCATGTCTTTGCAGAGCAACTACCCCATAGACAAATACCACAGTTTCATTCCCAGTCAGCGCTGGCAAAAGAAGTCAGGATAGGATAGGATAGGATCATAGGACAATTCAGATTGGAAGGTCCCTCAGGAGGTAATCTAGTCCAATCTCCTGCCCAAGACTCCTTCCACTAATTTCTTGACGAGGTACAACAAAGGGACAGACAATATGTAGCAATACCCTCAAACACTCATTAAGGCAGACAGAACCTGTGCCACATTAAGGGCTTTTCATCACGTTCCTGATGTTGCTTGCAAAGGAAGAGTGCCAGCTCAAACCATAATTTGGTCCGTGACAAAACTGGCTAAAAAGCTCCATTTTAAACATCCTATTTTGGTGCCTAGACCTTCAGCACTTAAAAATTTTTTCCCATAGGAATAAGATACAAATGCTTCTCGTGGGTAGTAGAAAAAAAATATCTAATTGTTTTTTCAGCAGCCTGTAAGATACCCTGCCCCAAGGTTGTGTATGTGCCAAAGGGTCCAGCTCCGCAACCTGAGCCAATATGCAAGGATGATGCTGCAGCAATCAGGATGATGCTGACAGAAAAATGAGAGGACTTGCATACAAATGAGGAAATGTGATTCCCACTTTGCAGGTGTCAGCAAGTTTCCTAACGAAAACCTGAACTGCCCATCAAGTGCGTTTCTAGCCCTTAGGAGCAATGAGAATTGGCGGCAAATAGCCAGGATGAATACACTGCAAGTCCAAACCTATACAGAACTATCTCAGAAAGCATGTGCTTTTCCTCATTTTTTCTTTTCCTCCGTTTGCCCATGCTTACTCTGTGAGAAGCTCAGGCATCTTCCCTGAAGTTGGGATTATTTAATAAAGAAGAAAAATCAGATGTTCTTCCTTGGCAGGATTTGTCAGAGCAAAGGAAAGCTCAAAACGGAGAAACAAAGTAAATCCTGCCTCAAAAATGGGCTGAGTTCCCTCAGCCCCTGACTTCACCTGATTTTAGGTTTGGCTCGGACTTGTTTGATGTGATTCACACAGAAGAATGCCCTGTAGCTCTGTTTTGATTCTGCTCCTTTCCCATCCTTGAGAAAATAAATTCCCATCACAGACCTTAGCAGGTAAAAGTTAAAGCCTACATTTGCATCAGCTCCCTTTGAAGATATCTCATTGGATTTCTGTTTTTAATATCTTTCCCACGAGCACAGTAGTTAGGAAAGATTTCAGTTCTGAGTTTGTTGACGGAAAAAGCAAGTTTTGCTGACTCCATGTCCCACCAACCCATCACTGTACATCAGCACTGATCTGGGTGCAAGATCTTTAAATAGGTCCCTAGATAAATCTTCTGATTCCTTGATGTTCCTGCTGCGATTGCCACCAGCTGGTGCTGTCCTACGAGCTGGGCAGCTGCCAATATGTGAACCATTTGGAAATGAAGGGAGCACTCTTAGCATCTCTTGAGGAGAAAATATATTCCAATTAATTTAATTATGGTATCATGGTCAAATCAATTAAACATTGTTTTTGCAAATGGATATACTCCCCTTCGTCCTCTGGGCAAAGAGGTGCAATGAGATTAAAGTTGGGCAATGATGTTTTATAGGAAATATATCTGAGCCTGCGGGATGTCCCTGACACCCGTGAACATGTGTGGTGGCTGCGGGGCTAGCACAGCTTCGTTCAAAGTCAACCCTGGCTCACAAGCGTGCACCTCTAGGTTGAACCAGTGGTGCTTTAAGCTCAAGTTAAGAGGACTGCCGAGGCAGGAGGTTCTCCCACACTTCTGGCCCATCATCTGCCACAGGATTTGGAGCTCCCCCATGCTGCTAATACAACCTGGTTCCAAAACGTTAAATGGGAACCTTTTTGCGCCCGCCTCCCGCCTCGTCGTCTCTCTCAGGCCAATAACCAGGAAGACGAGACCTACATGTATTTTGAAGTTCCAGTTCAACCCCAAAGAAGCATGCAACGGGATGAGTGTTGCTCAAAATGATTCAGCCTGAAATCTGAGTCAAAAGTATCGCTAAAAAGAGGTTCTTTGGCTTCAACACTTCTGAAACCGTCCCTAAAAAAATTGCAGCTAGAGCCCAACTACGTTAACATTCTCGGGTTGCAACCCAGCTCCTGCTAAAGTCAATGGGAGAGGTGAACTAGCTCACGGAGCACTGAGTGCCGTGAATAAACAAAAACACAGAAACCCAGTGATTTCAGTGACACTCGATGCAAGATGTTTATTTATATCAACTCCGCATGTATATATCTTTTATATATTTTTTTTTTGCATTCAATTTTTGCTGCACTGTTGTTTTGCATCTCAAGCCAACTGAAGTTTCCACTTCTTTAATTTACCTGCAGGAATTATAGTAAAGCATTCTTTGTATTAAAATTTTCAATACAGCTGTATGTTTTCATCTACAAGAAATAAGCCCTCACACATCTCATTAGTTATCTACACAGTTTAATCACTTACAAGCATAATTATTAACCTCTAGGAAAATATTCTGAAAATAAATGTAACAGACCTTTCATAAACCTTTCAGTTTTTGAACAGTCTGACATAGGAATTTAAAAATTCCTTTCAATGAATTCTCTTTTGCTTAAGTTTCACAAGAAAATGTAAACAGATGTTAATTGCTTTGGACTGATGAATTGAAATATAGTTATTTCCTCTATGACCATCTGAACCACAACTTTCCAGCTTGTTAAAAAAAAAAAAAACCAACAAAAAAAGCATCAACCAGATCAAGAAGAAACTTCCACATTCCTTTATACATCTGGATCAGCCTTAGGGATGAATATTATATTTTTAAAGATTATCATAGGGCAAATTCTTTCCTCAATAGCATCTATGTAAATCTGAATCAAATCCACTTACTCCTGTGGAATTATCCTGGATTGATACTGGAATAACTGAGATCAGAATCAGTCCCAATAAGAAATAAATATTCAGTTTCAAAAGGATTTCCGCATTGTATGTCCGTTATTTTCCAATGTACAGTGCAATATATGAAAAAGCACTAAGGTACATCCATTGTATTGCTTAATTATGAAATGAACAGTACAAACCAGAGTTGTTATCAAAAACAGGAGAGTAACACAAAAGAAGCTGGATTTCTTTCACCACACGTAATCACTGGAAAAGTGTCCCATATCATGAGGGTAGTGCACATGTTATTACGCATAATATTCTGTCCAGATATTGCAATGAAAGAGGCTGTGAAATTAATGCATTCACTTCAGTCACCACACGATCAAGGTGCAACCACAGGGGGGAAAAAAAAAAAAAGAGTAATTTTTTCTACAAGCACCTTTCTTCAGTTCAATCCCTGTTAGTGGGAATACCGCCTGGAGGACTCTAGAACAAGTTTCACAATATCACCTAGCTGGGAAACACTGAGACAGAACATCACACACCAACATTTCCAAGACAAAAACTCACTCAGTCCCCTTCAGGCTAGTTAGAAATTCAACTGTGTCGGAGCATTTCTGGTTTCCCTGTAGCGTCCAAAAGAAAATGTTTGTTTTCTCTTGTGACACTGCCACACAACTCAGCTGGGACAAGGTGCTGGACTTCTCGCCTCGTACCTCTGTCAGACAGACAGGGCCAGTGCTTGGTCCTATTGAGATCAATGGCAAACTCCAGCTGACTGCAACCAATATTTGGCTGCGTCTATGAGCCAATATCTGGGCCTATGAACCCGTTTCTTCTTCCAGGACTGAGCAACTTCTGGAAAGTAGGTCTATGCAATAGCTATTTGCGATGAAGCCAACTCCTGTTGGCAGGAATGGGCTATGCTCAGTACAGCTCAGTGGCATCCAGCCCCTTGGAGAGGGCTTAACCATATTCCTAGCCCTCCCTGTGCATTCAGCCCTCCCGCGGCAGAACTCCAGGGAACCTCAACCCAGCACGGGAAGGGAGACCTCCACAACAGAGCTAAATGTACACGGCTACAGTAATAAAATGCAATTATAACCGGCAGTGCTTTCAAGCAGCCCAATTCATTATAACGTTATAACCAAACGTATTTTTCAACCAGATATTTGTGGTAAAGTTTTCTCTTTTCCTTTTTTTTTTTTTTTCTCTTTCTTTTCCTTTTTTTTTGTTTTGTGTTTACTTTGTGCTCCTGTATTTTGCTGTAGCTCAGTGGTGAATTCCTTTTAGCATATTTAGGAGACATTAACCAGTAACGTTTAACCACTGGCATGTACAGGAGATCAAATATTCCAGTTTATCCTTCTAATATTTAGTCACAGAGATGACATTTGTCATTCTTTACATGTATTAGCTTCTGATTGTAGATGCTGTAGGCATTTTGTGCTGCCCTTTTGTCTTTTGGTGCACATTAGGCAAATCCGTATCTTAAGAGATATGGTTAATAAATCCATGACACTCAAATGCAGAATAATGAAAGCTCTATCTTTAGACAACTAGGAAGAGGACTTGAAAATAGTAGTCATTTTAAAAAGATAGGGTTTTTTTGATTAAATTGGAAGAGAATAGTGAAATCCTTGCCTTCCTCAAGTCAGTGGGACTTTGACCACTGACTTCAGTCAAGTCAGGATTCTAACCGAAAGTTTTGAACAGCCCTTTACATTCCTAGTTAATGCAGTATTTTCTATATGTTTCATTCTGCAGCAGAAGTTTAGAATAATTTAACCAGACTGTGCATGTCAAAAGGTTTACGAAGAAAGTTTTGGTAGAGCTAATTGGTGTCAAAAGTGTACAGTAGAGTCAAAGCAGCGTGAAGCTTCATGACCTTCTGGCATACACAGTGACGGGAGATTGCTTTAGATGAAAACACTCCTCCCGTCCTGGCTGCTGAAGGATGTTAAAAAGCTTAGATGCTTTCACCTTCTTGCTATACCATAATTTACAAATTAGGACTTTAAATCATTTTTAAGTTCATGGACAAAAGTTTCATTTATATTTTGTCACAGGCAGGAGAACCAGGCTTTTCCTAAACCTACCATCACTGTTTCACTATGGAATGATATATGTTCACCTTGATCAAAGCTTTTAAAATTACAAACTGATCTGACATACATGTTCCCTTTAAGACTGGAAAAGCTCTACATGTCATATTTAAATATTTTCTATAAGATATTCCCTCGCACACATTTCCTTGCAATTCTCACCACCAATTTCCTTCACTTAGAACATTTTCTATTTTTTTTTTACGCGACTTTCTTTTGTTTTGAAAATTATGCTTGTATCTGCTCAGCTTTCGGAGAGGTCTTCCGTGCTGATATGCAATGTAACAGGCTCGCCAATTGTCCCATAGCTGAGGGTTCTTGTGGAAACTTCAGTTTTAAAGCTTGACTGCCCATTGTCCGCTGAGAGCTGGACTTCGGTGCAGAACGACGGTTTCACAGTAAAGGAGGGACCAGAAGACGCTGATGCTGTTGCTGCATGCACTCCAGGCGTTGCTGCCATGCAGGTATCACTGACGTGGAAAGAGATATTTGAGGGGCCTACAGATTGCACACCAGTTACTCTAGAGGCTGACACAAACACGCCTCCAGGAATATGCTCCTCAAACTTGCTGAAAAATCTCTGCCTTGGCTTGGAAACAACATGTCTCCCCAGATTCAGCAGCACTGGCTTCCCAATCGTTGGCTCATTAATCTCTGTCTGGAGCACAGAGATCTCACAGGGTTTGTCTGCCGTATGGTTCTGATCATCGCACCCATAGGTCTCACCTTCTTCAGGAACATAATCTTCAAGATCCTCTAAAGTTAGTACTTTTCCATTGTGGGTTAGGATTTTGCGGTCCCGGGTGCTAATGTCATCCGTCTGTAGTTCCTCTGGTTCATCAACTATCATGACATTGTCCTCTTCAGGAAAGATATCTTGTGTCACTTCTGGTACCGCCTCTTCAGCAGGCCAAGACATGTCTAATTCATCTGCCTCTTCTTTAACCTCTGCACTCACTGGAGAGAACAGAAGTTCATGCTTGTCTGCAGCAGCTGTCTCAAAACTGAAGACCAAAGGCTCACCCCCACAGGCAAGTAACGGGGAAGTGACTTCTGAAACATAGTTAGCACTTGTTTCCTGTGTGCAGCTCTTCCCTTCAGTTCCATAATCGCTAAATGAATTGGTTCCTAGCTGCTCAGATCCACAGGGAGAACTTCTGTCTTCACTGCTGACTGGAGGTCCTTCCTGATCGCTTGCATATGCCAGGGGCTGGATATCAACATCAGAGAGACTGTCTTTGGGCAAAGAAGATTTTGACTGTTCCACTAATTTATTGTTGGAGTTGTTTGTGTTCGGATCATCTTCTGGGGAACGCCTAGGCCTAGAGCTGGGAAAAGTGAATGTTAACACCCCTGAGTCGTCTTTTTCTTGTTTTACTGGCGAAGACCCTCTTTTCCTCATAGGTTTCGGTGATTTTTTCACCTTAAATTCAATTATTTCTTCCACTTCAACCCATTTGGGCTTTTGCTCTTCTATCTTGGTCTCTATGACGATATCTCTAGCTGCTGCTCCTTGCCTGTCCTCTGGTTCTGTTACAAAAAGCATGGGAACAGCAGACTTTGCCGTTGCCTCCTGTTCATGTCTGTGGACTGGCTGTCTGATCTTTGACACATAAACCGGTTCTGGAGTTGGCTCCGCTCTTGGGGAGCGGGACGGCGAATAACCTGAAGAAGGACGTGCAGGAGAAACCCTTCCCTTTTGTCTTGGGCTCTTCACCACAGTGGTTATTGTTTCCTCTCTGATGACAGAAACGGTTGAAATGGAGTTGGCATGAAGACAAGACTTTTCTGGGAGCCACACTCCATGTCAGCACATGCCACGGTTGATCAAGGCACTACAGTGGGGTTAGTTTTGTAAGCACTTAAAGTGTTTGTGAAGCATGTCATTTTGGAAGGGACACACACGCACGCACGCCCACACACCCACCCACATGCCCGTCTCCAGCTTACTTTCTGAATCAGGCAAAACCTCAAAGCCATTCCTCCCGCATGGATCCAAGTGCCGTTAGCCCCCCTGAGTGCATGAACACACCACGAGTGTGTCCAGCTAACAAATGTTCTTCTGGATACTGCTATATATCATTTGCTTGTGTTGACCACCCGCTATGCTACTTTGGACTCATATAGCAGCTTTACCCAAAGATCTTAAACACTCAAGGAGTTTAACCTTTTCCTGAGTCTCCTTGGCTAAAACCCCAGTTTTAAATTCAAACTCAATGGCAAAATGCCTTTTATTTCAGACAGGTCAGTAGCTTACCCCCTTTTTACATAAATGTATCATCTCCATTTAATTGATTAAAATGAGTATTTTGAGCGGAAGTAGTATCTGTTTTTCTGAAAAGCAGAGATCTGCATTTTCACACACAGAACAGCTATATTAAAAGGGCATTAAGCATTTGTGGAAGCCAGGAAAGGAGTTCAAACATTTTTCTGCAGAAGTCATCCATGCCAAAATGTATCTATTCTTACTTGCCATAATACTGTTATTGCAGACACAGCCTGATCCTGCTACCAGCAATTAACACAGGAGTACCAGATTGGTCTGATACACACGATAATTATTTCTCAGAATAATTCTGTTGGTCTTACTTTAGATTTTTGGGGGTATCCAAAGCAGTGTTGATTTCGCAGTACCCCTGAACAGATACACACAACCAGTGCCACAGCAATCTTCCGCTCCCATCCCAGGACAAACTTGGACTTTAAGTGAGCTACAGATGAAATTGCACTAAATAGCTTTAAAGTTTGGGGGCAGGAATATCTAAACCCAGACTTCACTACTCTTAGTTTACATGTTTAACATGCAGTTTTCCCTGTAGATTTTTCAATTTTTTTTCCATGGAAAAGGTCAAAGGAAAAGATGGTGTTTGCTTTGGAGGTATATGGAAGCAGATGCTTTACAGCAGAGATAACTGGTTCAGTGGAAATAAATGGTAAAGTCAATTTTGTTTCTGTGTTGAGATTCTGTTTTTAACTCTGAGCAAGAGAGAGTGGGGAAAAAAGTGGAGTAACTAAAGGATAAAAAGACAGTGGCCTGAATCAAGACGGAACGTTTGTGAATCAAAACAATAGCTTTTTCATTCCTCTCTTTCTGTTTCCTCATCCGCCTCATCCTCTACTCTGATCACTCCGCCACTGAAAGCCAAGAGCTCTGCTCTCCAGCCATCTCTGCTTTGGCTCCAGAGCAGAGATACAGAGACGACTGGAAAGAGTCCTTGTGAAAGGACAGACTCTTTGTCCTGTTGCCATTGCCTAACCAGGCTGGAAGACAAATTGTCTTAGAGATCTTGTAACCTTTCCCATTTATCATTCTCGTATTTGGAGACTAGATCCAGCCTGGTACTGTCTTCTCCTACAGAGACCAGATTTCTTTTCACTATCAATCCATCCCTTTGAGGATGCAGTAAAGCCCAGGAATGGATCAGCTACAGTGAGATTATCTTTATTCTAAA